CACAAGGATCTGTAACTTCTGCCATAATAATAGTATTGGTTTATCAAATACGAAAAAACATGTGAGTGAATCCAATACTAAAAAATGCGCGAGTAATTTAAATTTAGAAAAATACGCGAGTAATATAAGGATATATAGAAATACGAAAAAATGCACAAGTGAATAAAATACTAAAAAAATGCGCGGTCAACTAAAAAGCAGTGACGAAAAAATATAATCAAAATTGATAAGGTAATATGGATATATAAATCAGGAGATAGGAATTCTGCAGTTAGGATATACCTTGGCTGTGATCAGAATGAGATTAATTGGCTTGGTGGTCCTTATTTATGGTGTTATTATGAATAAAAATTCACACATTTATATGTGTTAATTTCCGACCCAATTATGTAAAAGTCACGGTACGGTACAGTAACTAATGAAAATACTGTTTTATGAAAGTGCCGGTAAGGAGAAAGGACGGTAGTCATATAGTTATATAAGCATAGTTTTTCTCGAAATGAACAGTGCTATTCCAATTTCGGTTAGACGTAATATTTTGCCACACAACGGCTATTCATAAGACAAGTTTGAAATGAAGTCGCATTCGAAGAAAATTATTGTAAGACGAGGCAGGTTTCATTCAACTTGTTTGGAAAAACAGCATTTCGTTGCCGATTTTAACACTATCTAGCCAAGACTGTCTGAACAAAGAAACAGCAAAAAAAATCACTCCGATTGCCCACGAACCTGCTTCTATATCTTAAATATTGACAGTAAAGAACTATAAGCATGCAGTTCTTGCAATGTGGATTTATTAGTCAATAAATATAATTATGCTATGTTTGTAATGTACAATTGTCAGAAAATAGTAGCTTACATTGCGTTTAGTTCTGAACACAGCTCATTATCACGCCGGAAAGTTCAAATATTCACAGGTAGTGAAATGACTTGCACTGCATTTAGTTTTGAAAACGGTGCATTATCACGCCGGCAACTTCAAATATTCACACGTAGTTCAATGACTTAAACTGCGTTTAGTTCTGAATACAATGGTTTATCACGTCGGTAAGTTGAAATATTCACAGGTAGAACAATGACTTACATTGTATATAGTTCTGAACGCAACTCATTATCACGCCGGCGAGTGCAATTACCCACAGGCTGTACGGTAGTTTACTCTGAGTGTAGTATACGAGTATATGAAAACGGAGTCAATTCTCTGATACAGCGCTCGTGATTACTAGTCAATTTCATATCGTGGACAGGTTTTACAACGTGAAGTTACACATATCATGTGTTTTGCGATTGTACTATACTGTCTTTTATAGAACAAAGCATTTACACATCATTGGAAATTCAATGTTGAATCGACGTGCTTTGTTTCAGTGGTCTAAAGTTTCACGTTCGTCCACTCGATCGGCATCATGAAAAATACAAAATAAGCTTAGCATATGCAACTTTGTATATGTTTGCTAGTGTGTTTATTGAATTCGAATTTCTACAAGTTGTCTTGGCCCCGGAAATGAACCCGACAGAATATAATTCAAATGAACATTCGCATTTTCCTGTTTGATGAAATAATCACAGCCATGTACCGGCTGTAAATATGTTTCTCGTATTTTCACCTATTTTTATTGGGGTAAGGTTACATAATCACAGCTTTACACGGGAAAGAACATTGACTTTTTCCTGAAAACAATAAAGAAATGTGTTAATTGACTGTATTGCCGTCCCTAAGAATCGAATGGTATAGTCCTATTGCTAAACAATAGCCTTGCGATAGTAAACAACATGGCCGACTGAACTCTCTCCAACGCCCAGGCATCGATCAGAAAAGATAGCCGCTGTAATTTGCGACTCTGTTTTTTTTATTATAAACTAATTTTATACAGAAAAATGGTTGCTGCTTTTTGATTAGTCAGTATTCATATTGGTAATAATAGTGGGTCCAAACGTTTGTGACAGTTCTACTGTGAAGGGGTCGAAACGTCGAAGGGTCGCCGTAATTCGCGATTCTGTCGCTAAATTTAGGTATCTTCTCATTTTACCCAGTAAAATAATGCTAGGTTCAAATGCTTTTTGATCAGTCAGTATTCATATTGGTAATAATAGTGGGTCCAAACGTTTGTGACAGTTCTACTGTGAAGGGGTCGAAACGTCGAAGGGTCGCCGTAATTCGCGATTCTGTCGCTAAATTTAGGTATCTTCTTGTTTTACCCAGTAAAATAATGCTAGGTTCAAATGGTGAGGATTGTGGCGCCAAGTGGTTCTACCGTCGAGGGGTCGAAACATCGAAGGGTCTAATCGTCCTAGGGTCGAAACGCTGAGGGGTCTAATCGTCTGCGGCACGGAATAGAACGGCAAATGAAAAGATTAAATAAATGAACAAAATGCAACATTAGAAGTAAAACAAAACTAATGTATTGCTTATAATGTGACAAATAAACCAGAAATAATAAAAATCGACAGTGAGGAATCATTTGAATTAGGATTTTCTCGCCGACAAACACGCCCAATACATGTGAATTCAAAATAAATTAAAATGTCAGGGGTTAAACTGCGTAAAATTATTTCGGTCTCGACAAATTACGAATCAACTGTCTTACAAGATCAATAATAATTTACAAATTCACACAGTAAAAATAATAAAAATTCATAGCTTATCCGATCTTTATTTGTACGTTCATTGCCATCTTCGTCAAACTCAAAACCCTCAAAGTCCAAGTCGGCGTCACTGTAGTCTTCGAACAAAATCCCTACAACTTCTTCCTGAAGTTCGTCGATATCGTCCCACACAATTTGGACTTGGCACTTTTAATCTACGGATTTCGCAGTCTCTCAGCTTGTCACTTTTCATTCATGTCTAATCACAATAAAAAGACAAGCAAAATGGGGTGG